TTGCCTATGTCTACAACTTCTTTTTTTATTGATTTTCTTTAGTGATAATAAAGTGACATTCTTGGTATTTAGTACAATGAAATCCTTTTTATTATTTGAGATTTAGACAATAATTTCTGCGATTTGAGAAAACTTGAGTTTTTTGATGGGAAATTAATAGATTCTATATGGTAACATTCTGAAATTTTTGGTTTTTTGGCAATAGCTTGTCAAAGATGCGTTCTTATAACTAGAGGGGTTCTTTTCAAGCATGTGCTTTAGGAAAGGGTATGTGCATAATAATTTTGCTCATGTAATCTAAGTTTTGGTGACTAGGTTGATGCGTAGAAGATGTTTGATGGAATGACAAAAGGGATATAGTTATTTGGATCACAATGATTAGCGGTTATGTCATATTGCGGTTGGTTGAGGAGGCAATAGAGGTGTTTGATGAAATGTCCAAGAGAAGTTCGATTTTGTGCACCGCCACGATCTTAGCCACTACTATGCCTTCCTACGCCCTTTGGTTGCCCCTCGCCGTTCTTTATTGCTGCCAACAGCTAACGTAATGCAAAGCTACCCTACAATCAGAAACCAATCGTCAATGCACACTAACTTTTCGATCAAATACCTGAGAGAATCCCCCACTCTTAGCATTAGATCAAACCTTTGCACTGCTATCACATTGCAACCCAAACTACAAATCAACTACAGCCTACAATATGATGTACCAAGTAATATCCAATGTATCGTGTTGTATGAAATTTTTTATATTATGTATATATAGATGATTTGTGTGTATATTATATCAAATGCACTATCCAATGTATCATGTTGTATCAAATTTTCTATTAGAAATTTATCAGTGTATCTAGTATAAATGTATACAAAGTACACATTATAATAAGGGATTTTTGTCTATAAGACCAATGATTTACTCCCATTTATATTTAAATCCAAGTATTTTTATCTATACCTATAAACCCTAACAATTATTTGTATTTATCTTTAAACCCAATGATATCTAAAACAAGACATGTAAAGTGTATCTCTACAGATATAACAAAATTTTCAAACTGCCATTCTTCTTTCTCTTTTCTTCTCCTCCTTTCTCTTCTTCTTGTCAGCAATAAAAACCTAGTTTGCTCTAATGAGATCTTCTTCTCTCCTCATCTTGTTCTTATCCAATCTCCGTCGACAACAATTCTCCGCCCTCTCTTCATTCTCCTCCTCCCTCCCTAACTTATATCCTTCACCCCTCCCCACTGCATCCTCCTCCTCTCCCAACATTCTCACCTTCATCTCAACTTCGACTCTTTTGACTCCCCCTATCTTCTTGAATCTTTTAACTTTTTCTTTGTTGGCATTCTTATCTATGTTCATACATTTCTCTTTGTTCCATCTTTTACTTCAGAGGTTCCTTGATATGCCCACTTACAAGTCAACGTGCCAAAAAATGCATTTCATCTATTTGATGGAATGCCACATAGAAATATTTTTATTAGCACCATGTATGGTGTATCTAGATTTGACTTTTGTCACTATTGCCTTTAACTCCGGCCATTCTTTCCACCCTTGTGACGTGAGATTATGATATCTCTATGTGAAAGGATATGATGCAAAGGAGAAGAATATGAATAGGGTGGGATTGAAAATATAGTGACTTATTTTAAAAGGTGTATTTCATTTTTATTTGGTGGCAACATCCAATTGATGCTTATTTCATGGTCTTGGTTGTTCTTTGTGTAAACAATTAATGATATTCGATATAGTAGGTGTTTGGTATTTATTTTACATCTTTGTATATGTTGTAGTCTTGAAATATTATGTGTTCTTGATTGTATTTTGTTTACACAATAATATTGGATATGGTGGGTATGTGTTGTTAATTCCTTACTTATTTTGTGGTCTTGATTGTATTTTGTATAGACATGCAGGTCTTTTAAAAGTATATACATCGGATTATAGGATATGTATAGCATATTATTATGAAAGTATACCAAATTATGAAAGTATAATGTGTTATTATCAAAATATAGCATGTTACTATGAAAGTATAGTGTGTTATTATGAAAGTATAGCATATTATTCTGCAAGTATAGAATGTTATTCTACAAGTATAATGTAACATTATGAAAGTATAGTATGTTATTGTGAAAATATAACGTATTATTCTACAAGTATATTATGTTACTATGAAACTATAAAATGTTATTATAAAATTGTAACAGATTATCATAAAAGTACAGCAGGTTATTATGAAAGTATAACATGTTATTATAAAATTATAACATATTATCAAAAAAGTATAGCAGATTATTATGAAAGTATAATTGATTATTCTGTAAGTGTAGCGTGTTATTCTAAAAGTATGGCAGGTTATTATGAAAGTATAACATGTTATTCTATAAATATAGCAAGTTATTATAAAAATATAGCGTGTTATTATGAAAGTATAGTGTTCTATTCTGGAAGTATATTATGTTATTATAATATGAAAATATAGCGTGCTATTCTGAAAGTATATCATGTTATTAAAAAAGTATAGTATTATGAAAGTATATTGTATTACTCTAAAAATATAGCGTGTTGTTCTGAAAGTATAGTAGGTTATTATGAAAGTATAATGTGCTATTATGAAAGTTTAGCTTATTATTCTAAAAGTAAAGCGTGTCAGTATAAAAGTATAACATGTTATTCTGAAAGTATAGATGGTATTTGAGAAAGTATAGAAAAGAAAACTCATTAATACATAACTAGGACAAACATAGTTATACCAAACACATTAATTGGATGACCTCCTTATAACTCACAAAATAAAGTGTATGGCACTTGCACAAAAGTAGAGTACAAAACTCATGCTATACTTTTAGTAAATGTGTTATACTTACAGGAAAACATAATATATTTACTGGAAAACTTGATAGAAAATTTTTAAATAACATGATATACTTTTGTTATAACAAGTTATACTTGAATAACATGTTATACTTTCAAAATAACATGTTATACTTTTATAATAACGTGCTATATTTTTATAATAACTTGTTATACGTTCAGAATAACATGCTATATTTTTTGAATAATCGCCTACAATTTCATAATAACATGCTATACCTTCAGAATAATCTGATATACTTTCATAAATTGTCTTCCCCTTTCTAGTCCTACACTTTCAATCTTGTAGGCATCATATCCAAATTCATCGAGTACTTCTAAAATAATGTGTTATACTTTTTAGAATAAAGAGCTATACTTTTAGAACAAAGTGCTCTACTTTTATATTAGCTACTATATTTTTAGCAATACATGATATAAAACATATACAATACATAAGATATCCATAAATAACATATATGTAGAATTAACATCATATACATATCATATCCAATTTTCACTGTGTACACAAAATACATTCACAACTGCAACAATAACTTTGCATGTGAAGCTATATACACAAAAATGTACATTAATTCCTTCAAAAATGACCAACGAAAACTCCAATGACCGAAACAATCTATAAATATTGGATATCGCTCCCTCGTTAATTTTTCTCTTCTAGTCATACACTTTCGAAGTCCTTCTGATGATCAGTCAACAATTTGGAATGAAGATGCTTGCGAATTAGGCCCCATAAGTAGAATAAATTTGGCAAAAGTCTAACTTCCATAACTTTGCTACAAACATAATAAAACATAATTCAGCTTTAGTAGCATATTAAGGAAGGTAAAAAAAAAAGCTAAGTATATATACTTTTCATGCTGATATTTCCTACGTATGATTCTGTAAATAAAAAAAACATTGCTTGATAATCTTAATTTAAATATAGAATTGAGAGAGGGCTTGATTGAGGGATTCATCGTGTGGTTTAGGTTTTGAGTTCATAAAATGATAAGCTAAGGAGATTGTGATAAATTGCGTATAATGGCATTGGACCATCGCTTTCCACATTCTAATAAACCTAAAGTGGTCATAATATATCCTAAAGTTTTAGGGGCCAATACAATTCACATAGAAAATTATATATGATTAATAGAAGACTATGTATGTGGGAGTCTGTAGAAGTTGTAGCATAATAAAGTGGAATACCTATTTAAGTCGTATACTAATCATTTACACTCAAAGCTAATGGATTACTTTCACATCCTAGTGTACTTGCAAGCTTATTTAAATTGATAATTGTTGATGATGAGCTAAGTGCAAATTCTTCACAGAATAAAGGATACTGCAAAGGATATTCCCTTTTCGCCAGTAGACTGAAAATTTAAATGCAATGACAAAGAGAGTTATTATTGTATCAAGCCTCAATAGAGATTTCAACAGATGACACAATATAAATCTGTAGGTAATTTTATGTAGTCTATGCACGCTTTCATGTTTTTGATCAAGCATGTCTTTCTGTGTATGTTCATCTATTAACGTATGCATACACACATATGGAGAGACCTATGTAGGTATGAAGTAGGAACATACATGTGGGTTTACAACGTAGATTATTAACCTGCATGCTTCACAAAAGAATTGGGGGATACTTTTTTTTTTTTTTTGGGGGGGGGGATTATATTATTTGGGCTTTAAGAAGATAAATACACAAAAATAATTGGGTGAAAAAAATACAAATAAAAATAATTAGGTTTAAACATAAATCAAGTTGAACCGTTGGATTAAAAAAACCCCTAGACTTTAAACGAGAAATCCGGTGTTACTAATACAGTGGCCAGTGCGCCTAGCTTCTTCTCATGGAACACCGCCCGTAAATGATGAATGCAATAAACTACGGTCGGCCTAGTTTATGTCAACTTGCTGAGCAGAGTCTAGATAAAAGGATAAAGTACCTGAATTTTCTTACCACTTTTTAACAAAAAGGGGTCTTAGCTTACTTGAAAAGTATGCCATTGATGTCAAATGTTATTTTTGGAGAATAAGACACGAGAACATGAGACTCAATATGAGCGCGGCTCTAAAAATTTTGGCAACACAAGTTAGGTGAAAGAAGAAATTGAGCAGATAACCCATGTAGATTGTCACAAGAATCACTTTATTACATTTCAAGGTCAATAAAATACTCTACATAAGCATACTACGTAAAGTACATATTTTCGACACACCTCATCACTGCACTAAGTACATAGTTAACAAAATGATGCAGTGAGTACATAGTTAACAAAATGATGCAGTGATTCCCTTCAGTCTCCCGGCACATACTGAGGGTTACATGCAAATAACAGTTACAAAAAGTATAATTCATTCACGATTATACACATATGATTACTAGGCAAAAGCAGCAAAGTTCATCATCAAGCAACCTTCTGGGTATTCTTTTAAATTACATGAACTCACGCCAGAAAGCTGTCTTGCGATCCAAATTCCTGTAGCAAACACATGAACAGCATTTATGAGATGCAAAGGCCAACTCTTTTGCCACCAGACACCCTACAATATGGAGTTTCCTTTTGAAAAGTTAATTTTCACATTTGAGTCGGTAGTATCTACATCTGGATGCCATCCTTAGTAACCTACTCAACTCGTTTATTATCAACTAATTCAAAATTCGACTTTCCAAATCAGAAATCAGTGTCCTTGGATGCAATGTGATGCACACGAACTATGTGATGTGATGCACATGCACTATCTTAAGACTAACAAACGAGCATAAACATTATCAGCAATTAAGACATAATACGCACCAGTTGGCTTAGTCGCATGTCGGAGGGCGTCTCAAGTAGCTCAAAGTCCGTTGCATTCTTCTTCTGATCAGTGACTACTAAATGGTTGAGACCAAGAGTTTGACATTCTTCCAGATCCTTCTTAAAATCATCAACACCTCCTTTTCGAGCATACTCAGCCAACAAACAAGGCCTCATTCTCTTTGCTTCTTCAACATCACCTCCACAAGATGACTGGCTCTGGAGGAATTCATCGCATAATGCTATACCTTCAGCCAGCTGCTGAGAATCTAGCAGATATTGTGACTCACCTTCCCACCACTTTGATTCTTCCCCAGTATTGATGTGGTTTTCAATATTTTGATCATCAGTCTTTTCCTGTTCAGTATTTATGGTATTGTCAGTCTTTTCCTGTCCAATATTTTGGGCGACACCACTTTCATTTGTGACGATACCATTATCCATGACAACCTGCAAGTTTATTACTTCTTTTAGTAACCATGAAAATAAACAAAATAGCAGAAATTCCATGAGCTTTCAGGCAGTTTGAACAACCCCCCCTCCCCCTCATATTTATGCAAAACACTTTTGAACTACTGGAAATTGTCACAAACAATGCTAACACAAAGGGTAAAAGTCTAAACTGGCCTTGTTTACTATCTGCCTACACAATCTGAAAAACTTTTTCAGTGAGAAATTAAAAAGTGCACAATGGAAAATTTGTCCAAACATGTTACTTGCGAAGGACATGACAAGTTCTGGAGGTTTTATCTAATTTAATAAAGTTTAGAGGGGTTTTGTGCAAAACACCACAAAGTTGGGAGGGTTTTGCTAAACTATCTAATATATGCTAAATTATTCAACATATTAATGATGACTGAAAAGAAAAGGCACGCAACAATAAACTATACTTGGTTGGATGATGCTTGTCCAGTACGTTGCTCATCATGAGCAAAATGTTGAGGCACGGTAGCTAATGAAGGTGCAGGTTCATGATGTTCCTCAACGGCTAATCTAGGAACAAGCTCATGATGTAGTGCAACATCATTCTCTTCTTCTGATTTTGTAGCAGCAACAACAGCTTCAGCATCCACAGTCTCCACCATCATCGCCAAGTTTTGCAATTCACTCTTATTGTTTTCCGATGGTTTTAACAGTTGTTGTTGCTGATAAAATAACTTTGAGACAACAAACTCACCATCCTTCTCATCTTCCCCTGTTCCCAAATGGTACTGATGCATCACCCAATTGGTCTTCTCAGGTTTTTCTCCCTTCTTTAAAGAGCTATATAGAACCATAATTTTCTTACAACCAATGTGTACACCATCTATAATTACCGGTTTGGTTTTTCCGGTCTTGTGCCAGCGGACATCCCCTCCCTGCCCTTCTGTGTCATTGTCATCACTCTGTTGTATTTTGCGCCGCTTCCGAGTTCCAGTGTTGTATGCCTTGAATGTTCGGTGGAAAAAGTGTGAAACACTTCCATCCATCTTAACTCCTAGAAAAGAGAGAATCTTAGGCCACAATAGAAAAAAGCAACACAAGACAACTTGCTTGATTATAAACAAATTTTAAGTCACCTGGCAATTTTTGAGGGTGGGTGTAGCATATTCCATCATCTTTGTTAACAGTAGGAATAAACTCATTAATGAAAGGGTGGCATCAACTCCTGATCAGATGGATCAAATTTCACTCCTTGTGGTAAGCCTGGCCACTCATGGACAACCTAAAGTCAGAAAGAAAAGTTAATCCCTACTAGTAACACAAAGTTTTTCTTTATGGTCTCATGATAAACTATTGGTTCCATACACAGATATCTATATGAAAAGAACTTGATAATGCTAATTCGACAGAATGTCATGTTTCATATTGTCAAAGGACCCTACCATTATACCAAAACTTCAAAGCTGTGGTCAAGGTTGAAATTCAACAATTTTATATTCTAACATCAGTAACATGTCTCCATAGGTTGTGCGCCCTTTTCATGAGCCAAAAATTTGGACACACGTAGCGGTACAATTTTTTTTTAAAATCCACTTTAAATTCGTGGCTAGTGGAATTAAACCAAAGTTGCTCTGATACCATGCAAAAGGACCCTGCAACTATGCCAAAACTTTGATTTTTTATATTCTAACACATCAAGCACTGTCCATGTCTTCAACAGGTTTCTGACATGTCTGCAAGCTGGCATAACCTAGCTTCAAAGGGCTGGTTTGGTCAGTCCTAAATTTCTTTTGACTTGACTTTAGATCTAAATTTCCGAGGTGTAGAGATTGTTTGGTTCGTTTAACTGACCAGCTGACATTTGATCCATTTTTAATGTAGAAAATATGTAAATGTTAAGTGGTTCTTGCATGTAGATAACTATAAAACTATGATAAGCTTCTCAACCATTCCAAATGGTTTAGCTTTCAAGATCCCATCCAGGAAATGGGAGTAGTCGAGATGAGAATGTTGAGATAGATTAGTGGCTATAAGGTAAGCTATAGGATAAGAAATGAGAGACACTAAAGAGCTAGAATTTTCTACTGTTAAGCATAGAATGACGGAATACTAACTGAGATGATTCGAGCATGAGGATCAGAGCCATTATGTTAGCAAGAGGATAACATAGTTGTTAACTTAAAGGAAGTGATGGACATTAATAGAGCTGAATGGAACAAAGGGGTTTATATAGCGAACAAACAAGAATTTCAGTAAAAGGACTTACTCTTGTGTTTGCCATTGTCATTGATGTTGTTTTCTTATCTAGTGAAATTCAGAATGGCCTGAAATTGCACATTTCTCATTACATTTTTCCTTTGAATTTCTTCATGTATGTTATTTGAAATGCTTAATTCATGTAAATGGACCTAAGCTTACCAAAAATGCCAAACTTGATATCTCAGTAAACAGATAAATATCAGTAGGTAACATGCTCTACTGCATAATGATCGATGCCAACTTCTTAGTTCATATTTAACATTATCACAGTTTTTAATGCAACCATATATGCATATTTCTCATTTTAACATTAGAAGAATTCAAATTGAAGATTGGACACCTTCTGTTTTTAATTCAGATGTATTAAAAAAAATCTATGGTTACACCTGTAATCATTCCAAGTCTAAACTTCTTCTCATGGGATACATATCAAATTCAACATCAGAACAATAATTGTAATGCTGCTAGGAGAAAACAAATAGAAATATGACAAACTGGCTATAGCCTTTATTTGACAAGGAAAAGTGACAAAATGCATCTGCTCTTCACACCCTCTCTCGACTCCCCAGAGTTTCTTTCTTTCAAATCAATCAAGCAGATAGATTACAAACAATGATTCAAAACCAATTAAATAACTGAATACAAATCCCTACCAAGTTATGATAGAAAAAATTCACTGGAGCACAAATTGGGGAGAATATTCTAAAATATTACACTTAAATCCATAGATTTTGAACCTAATTAGGTAATTACACGTTCCTGTTAAACACTAATCCAAACATGGTTAATAATGTGGAATGTTAAATATAATAGAGGGACTAATTTCAAAACATTTGAAAGATTTGGGGGACTACTTTCAAATTATGAAGAATTAGGGTCTACTTTCAAACTATGCAAGATTTGGGGGACTAAGATCGAAACAACCCTCCAAAAAATTTATAAAAAAAGTTTGAGATGGAGGGAGCTAGGCTCTTGGAAAATATTAAAGCACAGGACCAAGTAACATGTGGTTGCATGCTGACTGACAAGTGACAATGGAAGAAAATGGATGTCCTACAATAAGGCATGTTAAGAGACAAAGACTTAATGTTCCAAAAGCATCTATCTCATACACAGATGATCTGTGATAAAAGCATATGAGTGCATAGGATAATCACAGATATATGTTGGCTCAGGTGGGAAGCACTCATTTTCCATCAACTGAGGTACACAACAAATAAACGTACATGAATTACAAGAGTAAAGACAGGAGAAGGTTGGACATGTACAGATTCTAAGAAAGTTTGGACATGTACATACTCATTCTCATCCACTTTCTCAGTTATTAAGATTAGTAATTTTTTGTTTTTTTTTTTGGTTATCTATGATCTTTCTAAAAAAGACCAATCCCTGTAACACCTCATAGTTTGATTATTGCTATGCTAAGTGATGCTGGAGCACACACGAAATCCATAATTTAGGCTTTTTGTAATTTCTATGTAAATGAAACTAATATCAGAAATCTATGAATAACACCATGTTGAAGTTTAAAGGAGTCATAACACAACAGTCGAAAGAATCAGTTATCTTGCACCACAGGGAGAAAATAATTAATAACTATGTCCACCGATGCATTCCGCTATACTCTCCAGCTTTTTAAAAATATAAATAACAAAAGGTTCAGGGAAAAGAATTATAAGGATACCGAGAATACAATCATACATCGCTGTTATCAATAATGTGGTTGCACCTAGGACAAGCTTTAGTTGGGTTGCTTATCCATTTGACTTTGCTCACATCCACGGACTCAGCTGCATATTTTATCTTTGTAGCAATCCTTTTGCTGTCTATCAGCCAAGAAGTTCTGCGTAAGATACAAAAAAGAGAGTAAGTTACAAACTAAGTAAACAGGTCAAAAATCTGAAGGATCCTGACACTATGAGCTTAGTTCCTTTCAAAAAGAGATTTACCATAAAAAGGACTAAAAAATCCATAGATTCTTTATCACTGGGAGACAAGATGTAACATCATACTTCAATGCATTGTATATGCACACCGATAACATGGTAAGATTGCAAAGAAAAAACTAGCACACTGATGTAAAGTTGATAAGTCGGAGCTGAAGCATCTGGGCTAGCTTCTAATGGAGCTTTGGCAAAGATTCAATCTTTGCAAAAATTTCTAAAGAAAAACTGGCGATTGCTACTGAAAAACTTCCCAAAATCAAAGGTCCAGCTTTTAGATCAAGCCCTTATCATATAATCACCCATCTATCAAAGGATTATCTCACTCTTGCAATCACAACTAATTGCAAAGAGAAAAACCCAATAAATCGTTTAAGATGAAAAGTTTACCTAACATAAAGAACAAAAATTTGAGAACAATTGAAAATTGTAGGGCAGAAAAGAAATCGGAGGAGCTATTAACTTACCCCGTCATTATCAAATGAGGAGGAATCGAGTGGGTATTGGACTTTGATTAGGGTTTCAATCGCCGCACTTCAAGGGTTTCTATAAATTCGAATTTGGTGGGGGAATTATTAGAACTACGTACTATATATATTATATAATAATATCAGGCAGGAGTATGAACCCCCGGTGATTGACTTGGAGCTCAACTTCGAAGTCACCGACCCACTTTCTTCCCTTTCCCAGTAACACAGTAGTGACTTGCTAGGGAGCGTTTGGTAACTTGACGTTTTTGATGTTTTCGTTTTTTTTAAAAAAATAATGAAAGAACAATTTTTCACTTTAGCCCTTTTCAAATTTTTTATTATTAAAATCGACCCTTTTTTCTTTTATTTACCAAAACCGACCCGATTTCTTGATTAGCGGCTTAATCACATTCCTAATTAGTCGGGGTTGCCAACCCCGACTATTTAGGAGGGTCTTAAACCCTAATTAGAAGCCTTAAACCCTAAAAATTAATGTCCTAAATAGTCGGGGTTGGCAACCCCGACTAATTAGGAATGTGATTAAGCCGCTAATCAAGAAATCGGGTCGGTTTTGGTAAATAAAAGAAAAAAGGGTCGATTTTAATAATAAAAAATTTGAAAAGGGCTAAAGTGAAAAATTGTTCATAATGAAACGAGTTTGGTAAGCGTGGTGTTTTTTTGGTTAACTCTTTACAAAGCCTAAAAAATAAACGTTTTTCCTAAAATATCAAAAATGTGTTTTGAGATCCCGTGACTTCTTTTTCCCCTAAATCCAAGTTGATCCCCTTTTCTCCCTTTCAATCTTAACGACCGTCGTCGCCGCCACTCTCGAATCGAGTCTCTCTGATTCGTCGTTGCCGCCTCGCGACTCGCTCGCCTCAACCACGCCTTCCCCGTCTGCCAGCGCTCTCCGAGTAGTTGTCAGCTGCCGCCTCCACGTACACCTGAGAACTATCTCCACGTCCGCCTGTGGCGCGCCTCCTCGTCACTGCCTCTCGGTTGCTGCCGCCACCTCCGAGTGGCCTGTCTCCTCATTTTCAATCAACGTAGTATATTATTGTCGCCCTCTCCGACCGTGTCCCCTTTTTGCTGAATAATATTTCTTCTTAGAAGTATTTCTCTATTACCTTTATTTAACAACATGACTGCTCCTTCTGATTTTTCTGGGTGAGAGCGGTGGCGTGGTGGTGGTAGGCGGGGCGGGGTTGGCATGTTATGATTTAATCTACATAAACCAATTTTGCGTACCAGGTTGATTTAGACATGGATAATGAGCTGGAGAAGGGGACATAGGATATCAAGCAAATATCTATTTTTGCTTTTATTTTTTGTGTGACATAAGCTCTTTAATATTCGCTTAATATTTTATTTCTTTTTATTTAGTTCAAATATATATTATCCAATGTTATTTAGAACATGTATGAACAATATATTCATCATTGTTTCAATGATTGATGGTGACATGATTTAGAATTTTAAAAAAAAATTAAATTATAGCCGATTTGATAAAACCTCCTTGAATGCGTGGTTAGGCCGCACTACCTGTCGGCCGCGGCCGACCGCGCGCGGCGGCGCGCGGCGGCCCGCGCGTTGTGACGACTGACAGTCGCAAGTGGTTGGTGGTGGGGAGCGGCAACGGGTGAGAGTAAGGTTAAGTGGTTGGGTGTGACTAGTGGTTGTTGATTAATATCATGTGCTATATAAATGGTCAAACTAGTTTGACCCATAACTTTCAAAATGGTGTTTTCAAAACACTTTTGAAAAAAAAACATCATGACATAGTGTTTTTCTACAAAAAGACAACAAGAAAATCACTTTGATTACCAAACACATCAACGTAATCGGCAAGGCTGCGCCTCGTCGAGTAGGTTATGTCAGCCGGATTGGCCCAACCCACGAACCAACACAAACCGGTTCGCCGCCAGCCCAAGTTGATGTAGGTCTAACCAAGGTGCTTGGTGTCAGGCCTAGTATTGGACCCAAATCGATCCACGATGAGCTATGAAGGCCCGAGCAGAATCAAGCGGTGTTGGGTTGTGAATGTGGCTATTTTAAAGGATTCTTTCCAAATACATGCTCTCAAAATTATAGGTTTATTAAATTTATTCCTCAAGTCATTGCATTATCAAATTTGCCCTTTAATTTGTTTTCATCATGCATTTTCGCCCTTCAGCTTAATATCATTAAGATTTTGTTTGTGTGGTTTAAAGTTACCTTTTCACCTTGTATTTATAAATGATATAAGAAAAAATAAACATCAAGATCCCAAAATAATTCTCGCCTTTTCTTATGCATTTTACTCTTTAATAATTGATTTAGTTGATGATTTTTTTACACTTTCTAATTCATAGTTAGTTTAACACTCAAGTTAGCATTCTACGATAACTCTAAATAAGTTTTTAAGAAATAACTTTTAAAGTGTTATACCTTACTATTGCTCTAACTTATAACTTTAATTAAGTAATAAAAATTTTTCATGCTTAACTTAGAGTGGATAACAATTTCTCAAGTCCTTTTGATCTAAATATTTCTCAACTTACACACACACACACACAAATAAACTCAAAAAAAAAAAGAAAAGAAAGAAAAAAAGAGTGCAAAAGATAGGCACCAATAAAAATATTAAACTCTAAGTGATTCTACCTTACTAAGGCTAAGTTGACTAAACAATTGAGTCTGAGGGGTATTTACATTCTTAATGACCTAAACCCAATTAGGATGAAATTCATTGACCCAAAGCTCATTGCATAGTCAATTAGAAAAGCCCAATAAAGTAGAAAAAATCTCCGAGGAGTAAAGAGATATATGTGTGTGTTCGTGTGTGTGTGTGTCTCTATATGTATATTCTTCAAAAATAAAATGATCAAGAGGCTAGGGAATTGATTGAAACAAAGAGTTAATATATTCTGCTCAAAATTTTGAAAAAAGTCACTAATTTGAACTAGATTTTGTATAACTAAAATGAAAATATTTTCTAGGAATTTACTTTAGAGTTATGCATAAAAATATTTTCTCAGGTAAAAGTAGCTTTAATTAGATTGTCTAAAAATATCAAGTGAATAAATTCTATATTGTCTTCTTCAAAGTGGCAAATTGATCAAATTTTGTGTGTGTATTCACTAAAAACCCTCACAAGACTACAACTCATCCTTTAGAATAACGTAGAGTTTAAAGGCTTTTTGTATGAGCTATATACAATCATAATTTTTACAAAAGTGAGTTAGAATTTTTCTTTCTTTTTATTTTCTCCCTTTGGTAGAGGACTAGCAAAAATTAGGTGTGGGGGGTATTTGATCACTATATTTTGTAGCGCTTTTATTTCCATTATCTATTTTTTGAATAAATTACTAGTTTATTTTATGAATTTGTAGAAAAAATAAAGAAAATAAATAGGAGCTTAAATGAAGATATCTTAAGTTCAATTAAAGCTCGGCGAAGCCCAGGAAAAACTAAAATAAAGCCCAAGAAAAATCAATGTGAAAATGATCGTGATAGTTCATCGTTAGAGATGTTGTAACAGTTTCAAGTAAAAGCAAATAGAATAATTTCAGTTGATCCAGCTAAGAATCATATAAGATCGTTCGCCTTTTAATTGTGAATCCAATGAATTAAGTTTTAGTCAAGTAAGAGTTGTGAAACTCAAGATACAATTATTTTAGTGAAGCAGTGGCAAAACTATAAATTAGTTAATCAATTAGTTATTGTAGCTGATTGATTAGTTTGGACAGGAAACTATTCAATAGGTAATTCTAATTTTTTGGAGCCCAAACTTGATCCAAGGAATGATGTTGGTTGGTGTAGTCTATAAATAAGGGTAGAGAGTTAGGTTAAAGATATGTAAAATTTTATAAACTCCTTTGTAGAGAGAAGAGACTTTAATTAGGTTTTCTAAATTATCAATTTTAGTTTAATTTTCTTCTTCTTCTCTTTGGTTGATGAAGATTTGCTTCAAAAGGGTCCAATTCCTTGTAACATAAGTTTCCATTTTTTTCTCTTTTATTTTCTTGTTTAGAATTGCATGTATAGGTTTTTATTTCTTATTTTTATTTCATCCTTTGTAGTTTAGATTTTTATTTATTGTTTTAATTTCATGCTTTGTAGTTTAGATTTTTATTTCTTAGTTTTTTTCATGCCTTATAGTTTAGATTTTTATTTCCTGCTTTGTACTTTATATTTTAGTTTCTTGCTTTTTATTCATGCTTTATAATTTGTAATTTTTTTTGCTTTTGTAGTATGAGTAGGTAAATTAGTATTAGATGAAACTAATTTAATATCATTTTTGGTTTTAAATTGCTCTCTTTTTATGCTTAAATGATCATACTTAGGATAATTAACAAGGGAACTAATTGGTAGAAAACATTTAATAGATTTTTGATACTTTATACTTTTTCAATACTAGATTTACTATCTAGTTATTTATTTCTATCATGAATAGTGATATTGCATAGATGTGATTTTTGATAGGTTATTCTTATTTTGAATAATTTGATAATCCATGCTTAGAAATTCTAGGTAATACGCGATTTAAAAATGAGTAGCTCTTAAATGCTAGTTGGAGTTAACTAATGGATTAAATCCTGGAGTCATTGTTTTATTCTCTTGATTTCCTCCAACTCTTTATTTACTTCTTCTTTTGGATTTTATTCTCTTTTTAATTTTCTTGTTATCTCTCATATTTTTTTTCATTCTTTTTTCTTGTTTCGAGCCCTTTTATTTACAATACGCACACCTACCCAAATTTGTCTCCATACACTCTTTTCTTTCACATTTCAAAAATCTCTTTAGGTTTCTCTCTAATAATACCTTTCTTGTAGGATTAACACTTGCATGCTACACACACTAGTTATACACTTGCAATATTTTAGTTTAAACACATAAGTTTCTTTGAGCTTCAATGGATTATTTTTCTCTAATAGTACTGTCATATGAAAAATCTTGATAAATAGATATTACTTGCATTATTTGATAGTCCACATAGATATTTTCCCGTACAATAACAAGTTGTGCTACAAATTTTTGAAAATCTTTTTATATGTATAGCTAATATATTATTTGGCTTTACAAGTAACAATTTGTATGTTGTGATGCATGCTAAATTACTTTTCCTATAACATTATGTTTCTTATATTATGTAGGGCGCACATACATATTTTAGAAATGTCAGCTAAAATGTAGTTAATGAGTTACATAATTGCCATATATGATATAACG